AATCTGATATCTACTTTGGAACATTTTATAATGTGGCATAGGCTGACAATTGAGATCATAAATTTAAAATAATAAAATTTAATTTATTATAATACTAATATCAATATCATAAAGATATATATATATATATATATATCATTTAAAAAATATATAAAAAGTATTATAAATTGAAATAATTAACCGCTTTATTTTTTTTTAAAATCATATAACTAATTTGATTTACACTCCAAAATTCATAGGTGTCACATAATTTAGACATTAATTCTTTATTACTTAATATATGTAATTATATCAATGACATATAAATTGAAATAAAAAATTACATATTTTATTTGAAAATCACGTAATAGTACTATAAGGTATAATAATTAACAACTTAACATATTTTAAAATTTTGTGTTGTATAAGCAAATTCCATATGTCTCATGTAATTGAGACAGAGAAAAACATATATTGGTTTAAAATAAATAAAAATATTATAAATTATAATAATTAACAACTTAAAATTTATAAAAAAAATCGTTTAAAAAAATTTAGTTGGCTCTCCAAATTTTAATCGATATTACAATGATTAAAACATAGAAATTAACATAGATTGGACTCGTGCTGACATTTTATGTTTTCCTTTTTTTAAATTATTTCTTTTATACTTTATATAAAATAATTTTTTTTATGTTAAAAAAGTATTATAAAATCATAATAATTAATAGCTTAAAATATTTGAAAACATATAAAAAGTTTTTGTTAACTTTCAAAATTTCATCTATACCACATAAATTGGGAGAAATATAGATATATAGATATTTTAAGTTTGCTAATTATTGTGAGTTTATAGTACGTTTTATGTAATTTTCATAAATATTACTCGCTTTGTCCTGATCTATGTGATACAAATGAAATTTCAAAAGTCAATGAATTTTTTATAAGTTTTTTTTTTATTATTAACTTGTTAATTATAGTGATTTATAATATATTTACGTAAAACATACTCTAAACAAAAATAATTAGCAACTTAAAATAATATAAAAACAATACTAAAAAATTGATTAACTTCAAATTTCATATGTACCACATAAATTAAAACATAAACAATAACATATATTGGGCCCCGTGCTAGCACGGGGTCCCATATCTAGTATATATATATATACTAGTTACAGAATCAGTGCTAGGACGAACACAATATATGTTACTCTTTTTGTTTCAATTTATGTGGTACATATGAAATTTGAAGTCAACTAATTTTTAAATATGCTTTGAAATATTTTATGATGTTAATTATTAGTACCATTTATAGTACGTTTTGCGTAATTTTCACATGATATATGTTACTCCTTTTGTCCCAATTTAAGTGACATAAATGGATTTGAGAGTTAACTAAAATATTTTATCTATATATTTTTAAATATTTTAAGTTGCTAATTATTGTGATTTATAGTACCTTTTAAATTTAATTTTCACATACTAATATATATTACTCCCTTTGTCTTGATTTATGTTATACAAATGAAATTTTAAAAGTCAACCAATATTTTATAAGTTCTTTTTGATATTTAACTTGTAATTACTATTTATAGTATATTTTATATATTTTACATAATATATATTTCTGCCTTTACTTGAATTTATATGGTATATATTGAATTTTGAGAGTTAAATAATATATGATCAAATGTATAGAGCTTAGAAGAAATTATGGATACCATCAAAGATCCAGAGCATAGAAGAATTTGTTCAGAAATTTCACTGTTCTTATTTTACAATTTTACAGTTCCGCAACTAATTTCAGGTGAACAAATTCAATGATTTCTATATGGTTTGACCTGCACTCTGTCTATTCACCAACAGAGTCAATATATTCTATATCGAACTCTAATCCATATATTCCCTTTTCAAAAACGTTAACCAAACGTTTTTCAAACTCTAATCCATATATTCCCTTTGCGAAAACGTTAACCAAACGTTTTTCACTTGAGGTTGATGCGTACAGATGAATTTATGTAGTCAACTTAACTATCTGTTGAGAATATGCGCAAATTTTGAATTGAAAATGTTCAATTGAAAAACTCCATGATATATTCAGCTCTTCAATTGAAACAGACAATAATTAAATGACTAAATAAAATTTGCTGACAAATTTAAGGGACTGACAATGTATTTAAACCTAATGATAATAATGTATTAGCCACAAAAACAGGGTATTCATAACAAAAATTCTTTGATCTAAAGTTAGCAAGCTGCAAAAAAAAAAAAGCAAACAGTGAATTAATGCCTTGCAGAGTTTGCCCTTATTATGTTAAATCTTCGTGTTCCACCTTAATTTTCATATGTAGTTCCTATGTTACATACTTTTTGAAAATGAAATTTATGAACTCATTTAAACTCTTTAACCAGCCCGTGTTACAATCAAACACTATATATGTTTAATGTTTTACGTTCTACCAAATACTCGGAACATTTTAATATGAGATAGATAGTGTTAAAATAAACCCAAATATAAGTAATTCGTTCAGAATTTTATGGGGTGGATTTATGATAATCTGAATTGGCTCAATCTTAATTTATTCAAGTCTGAATTCATAATACTCTTCAATTTCAACCCGTTTTAAGACTCTTTATTTGCATTGTGTAACGTATGTTTCTATATTGAAAATATGAATTACTATCTATTAGGATTTATCTATTAATTTGTAACTTTTTAATTTTTAATTTTATTTTCTTGAGTTGAAATTCAAATTGTGATTGTAAATAGGTAAATAAAGATATACTAAAATTATTATGATTAAGTGGGTCAAATTGGATAGGTCCCGACTCAACTTGGAGGAATTGACACATACATACTACTATTATATACAATTGGCAACATATAGCCCAATATTAATTAGCAATTAATAGTCCCAAAAAAAATAGCACGTATTAGCCTAAAGAAATATAACAAACTTTTTACAGTTTTTTTTAACCATGTGCAACCAATTGCATTAATTAAGGAGATATGGGGTTATTTTTTCTTTCTTGTTTGTAACTCTTAACGCAATTTACAATAACATAATGATATAGTTGAATGTAATTTTATGAATTATTTTTTTACTAATAGACGGTAATTAGTTTATTAAAAAACAATTGCCTACTTTTAAGAAGTGAAAAACAAATATTTATTAATTAACCCATTAAAAAAAGGTTATGTGAACTTTCAAGTAAGAAGTTTTTTTTAAAATTATTTAATTAACTTAATAAAAAATTATGACTACTTTTAAGGTAAGAAAATATATTATTAATGCTCAATTAACATGTATTAATTATCAAATAACTGAAAATAATTAATCAAATAATATTAAGAGACAATGATTTTTAATCAAAGTTGCAATTACATAATGTATACATAAAAAAGTACTATATGTATACACAAAAGATTATTCATAAAATAGACATGTAAATTTTATTGATGTATACAGTAACTGTAGCATGTATACATAAACTTTATAATATATACATAAGAATATTATCAACAATTATAGGTATTAGTTATCACCATAATGAATACAAGAATATGATACATATATAAATTAAATTTTATTCATAAATTTTACATGTGATTTTGTTTATGTATACATTAATTGCACTATGTATACATCAGTTCGTATTCATCTATGTATTCATTGGTCTGTATTCACCTAATAAATTTATATACATTTATTCAAATTGAGATTGACATTCATTGGTATACATGAATTGAGTCGTATTCATCAAAATCAACATTCCGATTTTGTACGAGGATCATACTAGAACCTAATTTCTTACCCATGAAATTGAAAACAAAATTTTCAAATACTATAACCTGAATTTTTGGCAATTTTTTTTTTAAAACTTTAATTCTACAAATCTCGAAATTTCAAAATTAATTGGGCAAGAAATGCTACATAATTATATATTAAAAGAAATCTTTGGGAGGATCAATTGATAAACATATAGTTTATCTGATTAGCATAAACATAATGAATTAAGGAGACTAAGAAAAAATTTAGAAGAGAAACAAATATATATACGAAAAAGATTTTAGAAAAAAAAAGAAAAAAAAAGGGATGAATAACCTATAATTTCGTAAAACAAAATTGAAAAAACTTCAATTCCACAAATCATGAAATTCAACAATAAATTGGACAAGAACAAGATTATATATAGAAGATGATTTTTAGAAGTATACATGAATAAACATATTGTTTTATGTAATTTTCTTAACAAAGTGAATTAAGGAGAAGAATTAAAAATTTGGGAGAGAAACAAATATATGTATGAAAAGAATTCTAGAAATAGAAAAGAAGGAGAAGAAGAAGAAGAAGAAGAAAAACTTTATTTTAAAATGGTTAACAAATAAAAAGGAGAGATAAAATAGGAATAATAAAACAATAATTTTTTCCTATTCAAGAAAAAAAAGGAGCAATCAAACGTGATTTAGAAAAAAATAAGGAGAACAAAAATACATTTTTTCAGAAAAAGAAAAATAACTATTGAATGCCAAATAAATAAAACAAAGTCTTTTTCTTGCTAAAAAATTAAAAATGAGCTATTTATTGCCAATTTAATCTATAAGTTGTCATGTTATGCCATTTTATCCTAAAAACTTTAGCATCTTTGATCCCAAAGTAAATTTGAGTCGGTCATGACCCAATTTATTACTATTTCAACTCATTTGAATATTTCAAATTTCAATTCAATCTGCCTGTTTAACTCCCTTGGCGAGGGACCTAATGAATAATTTTTTTTTGACTTCATTCACGTACTGAAAGTAACATTTTTCAAAACACGCAGTGTCTTTTCTTGGCAGTTTAGATAAGAGAACTCAGCATGGACCAATAAAATGGGTACGTTTAATTTGTAGCATACCGTTTAAATTTTCAAATAAAGCGCATGTGAATAATGTGACTATCTTTTTTTTCATCTTCAATAATGCAAGCTAATGTACCCTACCCAAAAAAAGAAGAAAAAAAAAATGTGTGAAAAGATACAAAAGAAAAATATCAGTACTAGTTGTGTGTATAAAAGATAAAGCTGCAGTACTATTGGTGTAAGTTGTTGATAACTTAAGCAGGTACCATTTCTCTCTTTCTTCCTTATCTTGTGTTTGCTAAGGCCTTATGCATTGCTTTGTTTACTTGTTTTTGTTTTGATTTTCTGCAGAGATCGAAAATGCAGAAGCATAATACTACTAATATTTATAACTTGTTCAACATCATCTTGTTGATACTTGTGGGGTTGCCATTGAGCTCGTTATCGAAGCATGACGATAATTATTCGGAGAAATATGCAGTGATATTTGACGCCGGAAGCACTGGTAGCAGAGTTCATGTCTTCCGTTTTAACTCAAATTTGGATCTCCTCAATATTGGCAATGATCTTGAACTCTTCTTGGCGGTACCTACTTAATACAACACTACTACACTTCTACTTATATATGCATTTCAATTTGTTAATTTTATTTTGATTTGACATGAAGTTTAAGAATTTTTTTTTAAAAAAAGACTTTGAATGTTGTAGATTTGTTGTCATAGATTAAAGATATATCAAAACATCTTTTAATTTGTGGTCTTAAATATCTCAGTTAAAAAATAGTAACTAAAGAGTTGCTAATAAGAGAAATAGACATTTTTTTAAACCCCAATATAATTCGCAGCCGCGACAACCTCTACCCTTTGGGTGAACACTCTGTGGTAAACCCTCTACTGTGTAATAGACTGCAAACCACACAGAGGATGTAAACTACACTAGGCAAGCACTATGACTCAGAAGACATTGAGGGGGGATCGGTCACAAGTCATATGTATGGATAACCACTCTCCAGACCAACTGAGTCATCCCGAAGGACAAATAGACTTTTTTTTAAAACAAATTAAACAGGAAAATAAGATAAACAAATTGAAAAGAATGAACTAGTAGTAATTTTGCACTGTTATTTGTTAGGACCAAAATAATTATGTGTCATGTGGAAGTTAGCAAAACAAATCTCGAAAGACCACGAGTAAGAAGACAAACGAGAAATATACCAAAAGACACAAAGATTTAACGTGGTTCGGTCAATCGACCTAAAGGAGATGAGCAATTCCACTATATAAATATGAGAGTGCAAAATATAGAGAGAAACAACCTCAATCAATTCACTCAGAATACATGGGAGGTTCACACAAGTGATAACGTATCAAGCTTGTGTCCCACAAATTCCCTCCCTAACCAAAACTCTCAATGCCCTTAAGACTACATTGTGAATGCTGATTAATTTAGAAGGAACAAACCTTTATAGAGTCCTAAACTTTTTCTTACGAGAATAGGATTAGCCAGATCTTAAACCTTTTTATAAAAGAAAAACCTATTTATGATAAGAAACTCACTGCAATTAATACCAACATTATTTACCAAGATCTAGTTATAAGTGAGTTTTTCTTTTTCTTTTTCTTTTTTACCTTTACAGATAAAACCAGGTCTGAGTTCATATGCAGATGATCCAAAGGCAGCTGCAAATTCTCTAAAGCCCCTTCTTGAGAAAGCTGAAGCTGTTATTCCTAAGAATTTACAGTCTCAAACCCCTATTAAAGTTGGGGTCAGTTAATAATTAACTATTTACATTACTCTTAATTCTGATCAAGATTCATAATTATATTAATCCATATGGTTGAGAAAACTAGTACTATTTGTATTAATTAATATCATTCTTGGATTAATCTTAATTGATACAGGCAACTGCAGGGCTGAGGTTGTTAAAGGGTGATTCATCTGAAAAGATTTTGCAAGCAGTACATTTTTTATCCCTACTTACCTTCATTAGTTGGAAAAATGATCTTAATTATTGTATTATTTGATAATCCTTCATAGTACAAATTAATCTTACTAGTTTAATTATTGTTTTTTCTTATTATAATTCCTTGATTAAGGTAAGAGATTTGCTGAAAAATGAAACTACTCTGAGTTATAAGGATGAATGGGTCTCTGTTCTCGAGGGAACTCAAGAAGGTTCTTATTTTTGGGTAAGTTTAATTATTATCAAACGTTCTTAATTAACGTGACAAAGTAATAGTTTTGTGATTTTACTGTTATGATTTGATAAATTACATTTGGTGTTCATATGTCGAAATTAACCTGGTAAGAAGTCCAATTCAAGTAAAAAATAATAAGAACTGGGGTAGGAAAAGGAAATTACAATACAGAGAATCCAACCCTCATCAATAAAAATGAAAGTTCAGGTAGCCAAACAACTAAAGGAATAATGTTATGAAACGTGTTTAAATTTATAGATTGGCATTCAATTTTTTTAAACACTAAAGCGACTATACTGATTATTTTATAGCGAAAAATCACTTTGGGAAAGCTTAGTGGTTTTTTTATTAAAAAAAAAAGTTCAGTTAATTTGGTACAATAATAAAAAAAAGTTGAAATCATACCTTTTTGTATTTAGAAAATAAACTGCTTTTCATTGGTAAGAGTGACAGAGTTGGCTGAGCATAGTATCTCTTAAATAGGATCACAAGTTTGATGCTTTCTTGATTGAGCTTGTTGTACAAGGCTTGCCCAGTGCAATTTACTTCTTCGTTATAGTTTACATACTATTACACAGGAGCAAAATGTATCGTAAACGCAACTGAAGGATAGCAGCTGCGCATTTGCATCAACAGTTAAAATTTGAATGACTTTTGTTTTTCTCCTTAAACAAAATGCAGGTTGCTTTGAACTATTTGTATGGGAATTTGGGGAAAAATTACCCAGACACCATTGCTACAATTGATCTTGGAGGTGGATCAGTCCAAATTGCTTATGCTGTCTCAAAAGAAAGTGCTTTAAATGCTCCAAAGCTACCAAATGGAGACCCTTATGTCCAACAAAAATCACTTCTTGGAACTAATTATTACCTCTATGTTCACAGGTTCCATTTCTATTATTTATATTTATTTTATAGTACATTAATGTTTTCTAATCAATAAATTTATTTAAATACTCAAAAGCATAATTAATTAACAACTTTATTGTTGTCTTCGTTCTATAGTTTTCTTAATTATGGACTATTAGCGGCTCGAGCTGATATTTTGAAGGCTTCTAAAAATTATACTAGTCCGTGCATCGTGGAAGGGCACAATGGTACTTTTCCTTGAACGAATACTTGAGCTAATATTTTGGTGCATTAATTATTGAAAAAAATTTGGATTTTGGTCCTTATGATATTAGACTAATTATATTTGACCTTCAATTAATTGAAACGTGCAATGCTTGTGAATACGCTAATTGTTCTACTATTTAATTATTCATGTGTTATGTTAAACTTGTACTATTATGATAAAAATAATGTGTTGTTAATAGTAATCATAACATACTTCATACATAAAGGAGTACTATAACACACCCATTTTAATTAATTCAAAGTTATTTTTATTTTTATTTTTCCGAATTTTTACTAATAATTGAGAGATTGAAAGTGCTATTATCTCTTAATAAAATACTTACAATTTTTTTTTATCCTTGAAGGGTACTACACATATAATGGAGTAGCTTATAAAGCTGCATCACAAAAACAAGGTCCAAATATTAGGAGATGTAAAGCAATAATAAGAAAATTACTTCAGCTTGATGCACCTTGCCAACACAAAAATTGTTCATTTGCTGGGATTTGGAATGGTGGAGGTGGAGCTGGAACAAAAAATCTCCATATCTCTTCATTTTTCTATGATTATGCTTCTACAGTAAGTACATGATTATATTACAAAAATGAAATAAGTATATTTATGTCATGACTTGATTAATATTTTAATTTAATGTAGGTTGGTATAGTGGATCCAAAAGAGCCCTCTGGTATAACTCAGCCAATACAATACTATAAAGCAGCGACGCTGGCTTGTAAGACTAAGAAGCAAAACATGAAATTAGTATTCCCTAACATTGGCGATAAAGATATACCCTTTATCTGCATGGATCTATTATATGAATACACTTTGCTGGTACATGGATTTGGTAAGAGTATTTAATTTCTCTTTTTTATTTATTGTTTTGTTATCATACATTTTAATTACTCTTTTTTTTTTTTGTAATTAATGAATAAACAGGCATTGATCCAATCAGAAAGATTACAGTGGTGCATCAAGTTAATTACAAAAATCACCTTGTTGAAGCTGCATGGCCATTAGGCTCTGCTATTGATGCTGTCTCATCCACAACATCAGAAAAATTGATTTCATATGTTGGGATAAGTTATTAGTGTTAATTTCGTTCTCATGTGTTAAACTAATTAGAGCAATTTCTCCTATGGTGAATTTAGTAGGAGCAGCTGTTTCTATTGAATCTCCTCATTTGGTACTTCAAAAATAAATGGTGTTTTCTTTTTAATTTTACACTTTAAAATTGAGATTTATTTAAGCAATCTTAAAGAGATTTTCAAAATCAAGATTTTCTTGTTAATTTATAAGGGAGTAATTTTAATATTTTTCTCAATTATTTCTTGTTGTAATATAATTAATTAATTTTCATATGATTTTATTAATCTAAAATAGTTTGCTCACATTTTTATCTTTATATTATATATTTATATTACGGAGAAAAAAGAAAGAAAAAAAAGGACAAAAATAGAGAAAGGAACTAAAAAAGAAGAAGAAGATAAACTGATGAAAAAAAGGAGAAATAAATTAAAAGAAAAAAAAAAGGAAAAACAAAGCAAAATCAAAAAATAAATAAAAAAAATGGACAAAAGCAGAGAATTTTTGACCAAAATAAGTCATTATTTAAATCAATTCACCAAAATAATATGTTTTTTAAATTTTTTACAAAACTAGTATAAATGTACTTGACAGTAACGTATTAGGTATTATTTTATTAAAAAAAATAAATGACAAAAGGACAAACATTTGACGGAGTAAACAGACTGAAAACGTTACTGACAGTAACGTTTTAACGTTAAAACATTACTGTCCGTAACATTTTAAGCTTAAAAAGTAACTTATCCCTAAACTAAAACAAACGATGTCATTCGCATCACCATATTATGCGTTTCAAAACCCTTATGCAGCCTCCCCATTAGATTCATTGACGTTCCCAACCCTTGCTGCTCTGTGCCTAATCCGCCGCCATCGGTGTTGTCGGAAAAACGAGATTCAGGACAACTTACTATCATAAATCTTTCGAAAAGTATAGAACATAGTTTTTTTTTATGCTTGAGGTATGTTTTCTCTTTACATAGTAGAAGAAATGCTTGGATATCATCTTAATATTCCCACAATTTAGCTGACATACAATTCATAATTCTGTCCATCTAGATTTGATTAGGTGAAATCTAATTTTATAAAGGGTTAGGGGTCATTATTTTCCTTTGTAAATGTCTCATCTTTCTCGTTAAAAGGATGAGGTATGTCTATTTTTTTTTATGTATCTCACATATATTATCATCGTTAACTCAGTAATTTCAAAATTTCTTGCCGCTGTCAGCTGCTCTAATTTATATGGAAAAAAGTATCAATCTACCTCTAAAATATTTGATATGAGGCAATTTTACAAGAGAGACCCTTCTGTTTTTTTTTTTGTAGCTAAAGAGTAATTCAGCTTAGAAGTCTAAATTGTAAGTCTTGCATTGTTGAACCATTAAGCTAAGTGTTTCATTAGCTCTATCAGTAAAACTTGACTTCCTTTTTGTAATGTGAACAATACAGAACTGTATTTGCTCTCAGATGACTAGATTGGGTGTAGTAATTTGTAACCACTGCATCAATATGATGTATGTAACCATTGCAGCGAGGTAGTCACCCTTGGCGGTGATTGACCGGAATACCAACGACCCCAACATCACTCAGATCCAGCTCACTGGTGACTCGAGAGTTCTTAGTAAGCAATTTAATCTTTTAATCTTATATCAGTACACTTCAAAATTAAAGAGGATGATGATCTTAAAACTTCTAAATGTGATTTTGTTAACTTTACCTCACTTTTGAAGTGTGCTGCCAAGAAAACATTACATAATAATTCGGGCTAACATTTAAGTTTACTTTCATGTGTATTCCATAGGTATTTTTTATGGCTAATAATAGTGAATACAAGTTGGATCCCGATCCATTGGAATCGAATGTATTAACGGGACAACTTACTCATAGATCACAAGATATATGGGAAGGGAATGTTAATATGATTCTTAATACGAGGAGAGAAGATGGAAATTTTTGGAAGCTCATAGAGAAATATCCTATCCATCCACGAGTTCTTGAAGTAATTAGATTATCTGGATTATATGGTGTTTACAAATCTAATCAGCCTGCTATTGACCGTAGTTTGATCACTGCATTAGTTGAGCGGTGGCGTCCCGAAACTCATTCTTTTCACTTTAAAACAGGCGAAGCAACAATTACCTTGCAGGACGTAGAAGTGTTGTATGGATTACCTGTGAATGGTGATCCAGTACTTGGTAATGAAATGATAAGGACCATAGGGGATTGGCAAAACATTTGTCAAAGATTATTAGTTTTGTTCCATCTCGTGAAGAAAGGTTGCTGCATTTAATGCACACATGTTAAGCCAACCACAGTTGCCGAACATGGCAACACAAAATATGGTCAATCAGAAGGCAATATGTTATATCTGATGGTTATTTGAAGCTTATGTACTTGCCTATGCTTGAGGACATCGATAAAATTGGGTCTTATAGTTGGGGGAGTGCGACCATGGCATACTTATATCATTTTCTTTGTAAAGCCTCAAGAGTACCCAAAATGAGATAGCCGAATTTTTGCCACTACTTCAGGTATACCTAACAATTTATTTATATTTCTTACAGTTACTAGTTTTGGACATATGTGTCTCATATCATATTTTCTCTCCATATATATAGTCTTCCTTTAATTTGTCTCCGTAGTGTTATTGGAGGATGAGAATTTTAAGAGATGTAATCCTAAAACTCTTTCTCCTAGATTTGGGCATGGGAGAGAGTCACTGTCCTTGGTCCTCAAATAGTAGCTCAGAGAGATGCGAGAACTATTTCTCATGTTGGTTTGCCTAGGGGTCCACATGCTACTAGATGGTTTGCGCATCTTAGTTGGACGAACACTACCAAGCATATGTTGAAAGTTTATAGGGATGCACTTGACTCTATGATAGAAGATCAGATACAATGTAATTTTTACTTATTTATAAAGATAGTAAATGTAAAGGGTCACTTTGCTCTTTTCCTTTTTCATGTAGTTTATTTGGGAACCGTATTCCGATGACTTAATTGAGAGTCTTCCTCTCTATTGTCACGCTAGACGAAATATATGGCGAGTTAGAGTTTCAATATTTTGTTGGGATGTGGTTGAGGTTCATTTGCCTGATCGTGTTATGAGGCAATTTGGACTACAACAAGTTATACCAACTCCGTTTTCATTTGATTCAACCACTTTCGTCATGATCGTCAGGGAAGACCAAATGCAAATTAGGAGTTTGAACATGCATATTGGTTATCATTTTGGAACCAACGCCTCCAATATAGTTGTGATGCACCGGTTAATAATGAATCACTTCGCTATGATGATCCATATCTTATTTGGTTCAGGCGCATTACTCGTCTTGTTATTGGTAATCCTAATTCACGTCCTCAAAATCAACAAGGTTATGTGCCTAATTCGACGGCATATGAAACTATGGTATGTGCCACCTCATTAGCTTAAATTTCTAAATTTGTCTTTATTGATTTTAGTGTGTCATTTATTTTGTTTAGTGTTGTTGCTGCTAAGTTTTTCATTGTTCTTTGTTCACTGCTAAGTGTTGAGAAAAATGCTAAGGTAATATATATATGAAAATTAAAAGAGTGAGAGTAGTGAAGTGGGGCTACTGATGAGGTGATATAAATGATGTTTTCTTTTTTATGAATGATTGGAAACAACCAGTTGCACAAGAAAAGCTAAACATTAATGGCCACCCGCAAGAATGGTGGTAGAGTAGTAAGTACTTTTATTAAGTAACACTTTTATTACTAGATCTCTTTTACATATTTCAGTTGGTAGTGAGTTCATTGCTCAAGTGACAGTCCGATCTAAATAATCAGATTAATGGAGTAGCTTTTAGTGTTAGGAAAAATAAATATTTACCATTTTGAAAAACAGTGGTTCACGGATACATACAGAAATGCAAATCTTTACTTTTTTTATCTTTTACATTAAATTACTTTCACTTTAATTTATTTAGGTGCGTCATATTCATTCGATGGTTGATGAAGCTAAAACACTTGGTGATATTCCATCATATGAGGCCTTATACATGTTTAGAAAAATGGTGCGAGATCAAGGTTCTGATTGTTTGAAATATGTTCATGAGGCTGACAGGGTTCATGTGTCAGCCGATTATAGAAGAGATGTGGTACAATCTATCCAGTTACATCCCCTAGTTCGTAGACGAGGAAAAGGTGGTGTTGCTGGTAGAAGAGAAAGTGCTGTTAAAAGAGGACAAACACGTGTTAAAATGGATCAGGCAACACAAAATGCCCAAGCAGCCTCACAAGATGATCAAGCAACATCCAATTATAATATTGGTTCCATTTCAAGAGGTTGCACTCATGAATTCACTCAGGCATCAAATATGACATATCAACCGTCACAAACAGATATCATGCCATACGTGACGCCATAGACTCTACAAACATCAAGTCATCAAAGTCTCTCATCACTTGAGAATGTCGTTGATAATTATCAACCTCAATATTTTGAGAATGTCCCAAACTTTACCTCATCGCCTATGCCACTGAACATTGAGACCCCTGATGCTACTAATAATTTAGAGGACCCGAATCATCATGTGGACGATAATGATCCAAAGGATGCAAATAAAGGCGGTGATGCGACTATTGAAGATAGTGAACCATCAAGGAGGGAAAAGCGTAAAATTAAACTTAAGCCTTGTGGGACTGGTATTTTAACATCTTACATTTTTTATTTGGTTTTACTATCTTTTTGAATAATAGATCATTTATATTTTCTTTACAGGCGGTCACTATGCTATCCAACAGGTCAAAAAAAAAAGAGCAAAGAATAAGTAATGAAAATTTTTGGTGCTGCTGAAAATTTTTGGTGCTACTGAAAATTAGTATTTTAGTGACAGTAACTCAACATTATAATCACTGCACTTTTTGGTCTAGGTATTTATTTTCACTTTGTGAATAGATTACTTTAATTTCAAAAGTATGAAGGCTTCAGAATGGTGACAGTAACTTAACATTATAATCACTGCACTTTTTGATCTGGGTATTTATTTTCACTTTGTGAATAGATTACATTAATTTCAAAAGTATAAAGGCTTTAGAATGGTGATGCAAATTTACA